ATTGGCACTCTACGTTTTTAGGTTGGCTTGGTTTTTTTTAAGTCTCATTTCAGTCTGCATAGTGGGAATCAATTCACCAGGATCATCCAAGCAATGTTGTTGTTGTTGTTGTTGTTATATGCCATCGAGTCGTTTCCGACTCATAGCGACCCTATGCACAACAGCCCTAAACCCTGCTCTATCCTGCGCCAACCGCACCACCTCTGACACACCCATCCCGATTACCTCAGTCACCAAATCAATCCATCTCATAGAGGGTCTTCCCCTCCTGCGCTGTCCCTCCACCCTCCCAAGCATGATGTCCCTCTCCAAGGACCCGTCCCTCCTGGCAACATGTCCAAAGTATGTCAGACGAAGCCCCAGAATCCTTGCCTCCAAGGAGTAGCTTGGTGTAATCCTCTCCAAGATGAATCTGTTTGTTTTCCTGGCAGTCCATGGTACATTCAGTACCCTTCTCCAGCACCACAGCTCAAAAGCATCCACTCTCCTTCTGTCCTCCCTAGTCATTGTCCAACTCTCTGATGCATAACAAACGATTCCAAATACCATGGCCTGTATCAGGCGCACCTTAGTCTCCAGAGAGACACTGTTGCTCCTGAGTACTTTAGAAAGAAAAAGTATCCAAGCAATACGAAAGACAAAAAACCAGTTGCTGTTAAGTCAGGGCTGACTGCTGGCAGCCTTATATGTGTCAGGGGAGAACCGTGCTCCATCATGTTTTAATGGCTAGCTTTTACTGGAAATAGATTATCAGGACTTTCTTCTGATGTATCTTAGGGTAGTGTTGAACCTCCAACCTTTGGATAGCTGTTGAGCACACTCTTTATATTGCCAAGGACACAGCAATATGAATGAACAGATACAATTCAGAAAAGTTAGGCAGGTTTCATCTGTCTTACAGAGGATCACTGTAATTTGGACCTGACCCAAATGTACCTAACAACAGCAACAACAATTTAGTTCCTAAACTTTCAAATCCAAAGCCCAGACCCTTGGGTCCACAGTGAACTGATTCAGGCAATGTGCCCAACTGGCAAATGAATCCAAAAACAAATTCACTGCTTGTTGGCAATACTAGTTAATCATTTTTATGAATGTTAGTGTTTATCATCCTTAGAGTGGTTAATAGCCATTACAATATCCTAGGCCTGGTTATTTCACAGGGGCTTTACAATTATACTTCCCTTTTTTTTTGCTGAAACTTCTTCCCTGGGATATATGGATTCCATTAAGAAACAGCTGTCAGCAGTTCAAAGTGGTGGGGACTGCCTTGGCAAGGTTCACCCTTTGTCTCAGGTAACTAGCATGCAGATTAGCCATTCATAGCTCCTCTGCTACAAAGTTAATTAAGCTGTACACAAAGGCAATCAACATTTATGTGACTTAATTTTAAAAATGAAATGATGGAGGAGGACAGTAAAAAAAATATATATATATATATATTTAATGAAAGCGTTTTGCCTATAGTATCCTCCAGAAGAAAAAAAGTAAAAGTGTCTTCTTCAACTACAGTCAAGTCTGACTGCAGCCTGCTCTATGCCTCTCACCTATCTGCCTCAGTGTGGAAGTGGGGTACCTCCTTTCGTTCTTTCTCAGTTTAGTTCAGCAAAATCTCATTGAGTTTCTCCATAGTATCTTAAATTCCTGAACATAATTTGGACAAATGATCTCTAAATAATCTACCTGAAGTTGCGAGAAGAAAGGAAGACAACATAATAGCCCAAAATTGAGTGCAAGCAATGAGATGCTGATTTCTCATCTTGAGTGTGGAGACTTATTTCTGTGGAATTTGTGGCATCTTGGCTAAGCTGACCTCATAAAAAAGGACACTAGCATACTAAATGTCTAGTACACTCTATCCTCAAGCCCTCCTAGTAGCCTAAGATAGGCAGGCAAAGCTGTTCTATGCAAGACCTAAGCCCAAAACAACCCTGCTTACAGAAACTAAAGAGGACCTGAAGTGTTTGCTGCAGAAAGTCAGGGAATGCAGTCATCAGTATGGATTGAAGCTCCACATCAGAAGACAAAGATTCCCACATCTGAGCTAATTCTCATGATAGATGGAGAAGAGACTGAGGTTGTTAACCATTTCAGCTTTCTCAGCTCCACAATCAACATTCTTTGCACCAGCAGTCAAGAAATCAAAAGATGAATTGCTCTGGGGAAGGCTGCTGTCAGGGACCTTTCCAAAGTGCTGAAGAGCAACAATGTCCATTGGGAGACCAAGGTATACCTAATTCAGGCCATAGTCTTCGAAAGTACTTGCTATGCATAAGAGCTTTTGTACATAGAGTTGCTACAAGTGGAAGGCAACTCGATGGCATATTATTGGCAGAATGTGGACCTGTCAACTGCATTTGAGAAATGAGCCTTCTTCACAGAAAAAAAAGTTTCCCCTTCTAGATGATGAATAACATGAAGATGAGTGTGGTGATGAGAAGAGAGCGAAGTCATCAAGTATGACAGTGAGGGATGTTTATATGGCACGCAGAGAAGAAAGATAGAGGGCCATGGCCTATCATAGTGACTTTTGCTGCAGACTGACATCACAGTATGTCTGGTTTATCAAATGAAAATAATAGTGCTTTTTATGTTGCAAAATGTTGCAGAAGTGAGCTGCTTTTCCCTTGGATTATAGGGGCAATAAGGAGCTCCATGCAAAGTCCCCGTGGGTAGCCCATTTTCTCAATGTCCTGCCTGTTGGTCAAGACCAACTCAGTGGCCTGACCTCAGACTCCAGGATGAGACTGGGAGACCAGGCCCCTGACACCTAGAACCCTGCTTTCTAATTCCAAACACTTGTGCCAACCTAGTGTCATTAACACCAAGTTAGGCCATAGAAGTCTAAGACACATCCCCTCACTCTACTCCAGTGCCAACAGACAGGGAAATAATTATATAAGTGAACCCAATAAGCACCTATAGACATGAGCGCACAGCAGAATAGTGGTTGAAGAATCAAAACAGATGAATGGATAAGCAAAATGTGGTATATCCATACAATGCAACATTATTGACGATAAACAGAAAGGACAGTCTGAGACAGAGGTGACAGTTGAACTTGAAAAGAGTAAACTGAGCGAAATACCTACTATGCAAACTCATTGCCATTGACGTGATTTTGACTCATAGCAACATTATAGGACAGGAAAGAACGGTCTCAGAAGGTTTCCAAGGCTGTCACTCTGTATGGAAGAAGTCTAATTATCTTTTTCTAACAGTGTCTCCATTGTGGTTAGCAGATGAGCACTTAACTAGTGTGTCAACTGGACTTTTGTGAGTGAAATAAGTCAGATATAAAAAGGCAAGTATTATAATTCCACTGATATGAAATACTTTGAACAGACAAGTGCTTTGAGATAAAAATTGTTACCAGAGCCTGGGGATGAGAGGAGAAAAATAAATTATTGCTTAAGGAGTATGGTGTTTTAATTAAGGCTGTCTTATAAAAAAACATGAGGTTAGGTGTGAGTGAATGAACTCCGACTCATAGCAACCCTAGGTGCAAACAGAAGGAAACCATGCCCTACCTTGTACCACCTCACAATCTCTGCTGTGTTTAAGCCCTTTGGTGCAGCTACCATGTTGATCCATCTTGTTGAGGGTCTTCCTTTCCTTCGTTGACTTCCTACTTTTTCAAGCATATCCTTTTCTAAAGACTGATCCTTCCTCACAACCTAGTCAATGTATGTGACACAAAGTCTCACTCCCACTCCTCTTGCCTCTAAGGAACACCCTGGATAAACTATTTCCAAGCCAGATTTGTTTGTTCTTTTGGAAGTCCACAGTATATTCAGCACTCCATGCCAACTCCACAACATAGTAAATGCAGTTAATGTAACTGATTTATTTAAAGACAGTTCAAAGGCAAAACTTTAAAAATGATCCATCTTAGCAAAATAAATGAAAAGAACAGTCAACAAATTTAAAAGGTAAAACAAGGAGAAGTCAGATGAAAGCCTCCCTTCCTTTATTTTTTACCCGATATGAGGAAATAGTCTTCCAGCCCATATGAATTTCAATGCTTTTTAGGAAAAGGCTGGCCTAGGACTCATTTCTTTAAGCCTTTTCACCATCAAGCTGGGTAAGGCAACACCTCTGATAAGAATGTGAGCTGAGGATTTAGGCAAGCAGAGTAAATACCATGGCTCTGTTGGGAAGCGTGTGCTTACTCAGGAGTGTCTGAGACTTTATCTGGGGAGAGGGGATTCAGCTTTCACTCAATTCTCAAAAGGACCTGTAATGGCCCTAAAGGATGAAACTACTGCAAAAGACGCGTGCTTTGGGAGGAAAAGCAGAATATAAATGCAGTATCTTCACTTTGCAGCTCGGCTGAATCTGGCCTTTACCTATTTCCATAAGTGGGAGCCCTACAGGCCAAGTAATGAATAGAAAAAAATTTCTGCAATAATGACAAGAATCTACAAGAGCTGTCACCTACATCCACATTAAACTACAAAAGCAGCCCAGCGGAATGTATGATGGAGAAAGAATATGTGAGGTTTGTTTCCCAGATAGTGAGGCAGCACTGATTTAGAGGGAATATTCCCAGCATTCCCTGGGGAGAACCAGGTGCCATATCCTGTCAGACCTTTCTCTGATCACAACCCACTCAGTTTTCATTATGAGGAAGGGCTCTTCATTAAAAAACATTTCCTTCTTTGGGGATAATGAGTTGGACAATTAATTTTCTATCAATTTGATAAGCTAATTGGCCTGTTTTTAAAAAAATTCCATAAGAAGCATTTAAAAATGACTGTTAAAAGAAATAATAATTTAAAAATAAGCTTATAGTGAACTCAAGCAGAATAAATAAAAACCAAATGCCAACCAAACAAACGAAAGTAGAATATATCATCTTTCAATGACTGCAGGGAGCCTGTGACCTATGCCTGCCTTTCTGGGGTTCTCAAAGACTAACTTTCTTGCCTTACTCATTTTTCTCCTAATATTTCCATAGCTTTTTGTATTTCAAACCAAGATGGTAAAGCAATACTCACAAAATGTAGGCAATCACTCCAATGGACCAGCAGTCAACAGCTTTGCTGTAGGGTTTCTGGGCGAGGACCTCAGGAGCTATGAAACAACAAAGGAGACAAATTTAAATGCCTATTATGTAAAATAGGGAGCTCTGGTGGTCTAGAGGTAAGGAGCTGTGCTGGCATCCCAAAGGTACATGGTTCAAATTCACTAGTTGCTCAATGGTAGTAAGAAGGGCAATCTCCTCCTGTGTGATGAACAGTCTCTGAAAATCCAATGGAGGGTCAGGAATGGGTTAGTTCCAACTTGATGGTACATAATAGCAATATAAAACCATTCTCAGTATCTCCTTTTTCTGATTGCTACCAGAAAGAACTCATAGTCTATGAGCCGAAAACTTGAGTAGAAAGGTAAGACCCACTTTCTTGATCAGCTTTTAGGAAAAAAATGTTTATGTAATTGGAAATGACAAATCAAAATAAATCAATAAATACTTAACAGACCTCTATTATATGTTGGTGCTATGTTCACAGCTCATACCAGACTGAAGCAAACAAAGATAGAATACATTTTAGAGTCTGGGGTATGTTTCTTTATCCCAAACTCAAAGGGCCATTTCTGCTTTGCATGCAGGGGCCTGATAGGTGCTGAGAGTGGTGGGTGCTAAGTATTCCTCATTATGCCTTCATGAAGCTTACAACCAGTAGAGATTAGAAGTAGAATCTGGTTTGGGGAAATTTAGCACTAGTCTTTGTCTTAATTCACTCTCTAAGGTTTGAAGTAGATTATACATTAGAGCCCATTTCTTGTCTATGGCATGAGAAAAGTGTTATTTAATCTTATTTTCTTATTTCTGAAGCACTGTTCATCAAGCCCTCCAACCTGATTGGGTGGCTTGTTCTGCAAGCTCCAACCTCATCTGCCTGGTACAGTTGTTGCTGGGGGCCATCAAGTCAAGTACGACCCATGGTGACCCTATGAACAACAGATCTAAACCCTGTCCTATCCTGTGCCATCCTCACATTTCCTGACACATTAGAGCCCACTGTGGCAGTCACTGTATCAATCCATGTTGTCGAGGGTCTTCCTCTCCTTTGCTAACCTTTTACCAGGGTGTGTCAAATGCCCGGTATGGTTAGCACTCAATAAATACTTGTGCAAAGAATACATAAATATAAGGGAAGACATCCAGTTTTATCTACAATTAAAATATCCTGTTTATATAGAAATAACTGATTAAGATCTCTGTAGCACAGACTTTCCACAGAAATGACAAAGATAGAAATAGTGTAGATAAATATTCTTTGAAAACACAGTTGTAGCTTAAAAGGCACTTAAAAATTGTGTGCTATACTGTATATTTATTCAAAGAACTCTAGGTGCACTAAGTGACTTACTCAACAACCCTGGAGTCAGGAAAATGTCTTATTATCTTTACCCCTAAATTGTACACCCTAAATGGCATATGAGAAACAAAGGTAATTGAGAGGCCAACTAACTTTTCTAAGGTTATCCAGATGAAAGTGGCAGTGCTAGGGGATCTTTTACACCTACTTCCTTTCAAAAGGAACTGACCTTATATCAAGAGTCCAAGAAATAGAGATTAGTACAACAGTGTTCACAGCAGCATTATTCACCATCACAAGAACACAGAAACATCCCAAATGCCCAACCACAACTGAATGGATTGAGAAATTATAGTACATTCACACAATGGAATACTATGCTGCACTTAGCAACAATTTCGAAAAATTCTATATAACTTGGGAGAGACTGGAGAGCATTATGCTGAGTGAACTGACTCAATCTCATAAGGACAAATACTGCCTAAGACCATTATTGTACAAAGAAGGATAACTAGTAAAACATGTATGGAGATCCAATGAAAGAAGGGGTGGGAGCAGAGGGATGAGGATGGGTAGGGGCAAAAACACAGGGTTGCACAATTTGGTGGGTGGGAGGAGGGGGTAAAGAAAATGGGAAAGATCCAGTGGGGACCTGAAAAGACAGAATAATGGTGACAATAGTTCAATGATGACTAAGTTTATAAAACACAATATATGGGAGTGATAGTATGAAATACAATGTATATGAACTTTGTAAGCAAACTAATTTAAAAAAAAAAGACTAAATTAAGAAAAAAAAAAGAATCTACCAAAAGTATTCTGTAAGGTCTTCATAAACACCTTCTAGTGTACACATTCACTCACACTCACTGCCCTCGAGTCAGAACCGGCTCCTGGCTGACCCTCCATTGGGATTCTGAGACTATAAATCACCCTGGAGGACACTGTCCATCTTTCACCCGAGGAGCCACTGGTGGACTCAAACCCCCAGAGAGGCGAGGCCTTGAGTTGGCAGTGCAAGTCCCAGGACTACAGAACCAGAGCTCCCTTCAATTTCTAATGAGATCCCTGAGGATTAGAAACTCTGTAATCATCATTATCTACACCTTATTGCAGTTGTCATTGAGCCAATTCCCCTTCAAAGGGACTCCATTTGTCCAAGTTGAACTTTGCTCTGTAGGATTTTCAGTGACTCAAATCTGGGGAAGCCAGGCCTTTGTTCCAAGGTGCTTCTGGGTGGGATCAAGCCTCTCTAGTCCTCTGCACTATAGTCAAGTGGGTGAAGCATTTGCACCACCCAGTGTGTCCATCTCCCCGTACAGCTAAGGAAAATGAGCCTCAGAGAAGTAAAATAACTTGCCCAGTGTCACAGAGAAAAACATAAAAGAGTCAGATTTAAACCCAAGCCAGTCTCATGCAAGGTGATCATTTCTTCCATTTGTAAGAAAAGTACCCTTTGCAGAAAAAGCAACAGGGAAAGTCTATCTTTCATTCTATTGAAGATAAGTATCTTCACAGTGATTGTTTCTGGTTATGACAGAAATACAATCCACAGAAAATCCTCAAATCTTATTTCATGTTTCAGTCTCCAATTCCCTCAGATCTCTTACCAGAATTCTTTAATTAAAAAAAAAAAAGAGCAAATCAATAAATGGCACATCCTGCCTTTGCTATGTTTACTCTCAGCTCAGGTAACAAAAGGAAAAACAATTATGAAGTTAGGGAGCTCGGAGAGTGGAGAATGAATCCTCAGATAATTGTGAGCCGGCCACAGCAATCTTTCCTTTTTCCATAACTGTTAACAACATATTTCTCAGGCTCTTCTATTATGGCAACTGACAAATGGGAGCCATTAACCACAGTAAATGTCTTTCTGATTTAAGAGGTGTGTGTTCTCTGAATTGATGCTCCCCTGTCTGAGTGGCCACACAGGCACAGGTGGTGTGAGGTGACGGCATTAGCAAAGAGTATATTTCTAAGCCCCGAGGGCCATCCTTCTGGGCTGATGGGAAGTTCAGAAGAGGCAGAGAAAGCTCACAGAACAATAGCTGATCCATGATTCCTTCCCAGGCCCGTTGATAGCAGCATGTTTGCAGCACAAAACCAAGCTGCTGTACCGGGTAGCAGGTTTTGGTTTTGAGTCCGAGTGTTGCTCCTCAGAGGATGAGCCCAGCCTGGTCCAGGCACAGTATGCCACAAGCTGCCAGATGGCATAGAGGCAGTGGGAGCTCAGAGCAAGACCAGAGCACAAATTCATATCACCCAGCAGGGGTCAGATGAGACTGATCTACGGGGAGGAAGCACAGAGAAGGAAGCTGTGGGCACTGCCCTCTGTCCATAAACTGCTTCCATAGCTTATGAATAAAGATCAGGCCAATCCCCTGAGCTATATATAGTCTTAGTTGTTAGCTGCCACTGAGTTGGCTCGGCCTCACTGCAGCCCCGTGTATAACAGAAGAGATCACTGCCTGGCCCTGCACCGTCTCGCTGATCACTGGAGCATCTGAGTCCATTGGTACAGTCACTTTTGTTTGAATATCTTCCAACCTAGGAGGTTCGCCTTCTAGCACCATGTCAAGCAACGCTTTGTACTCATTCATTGAGTCTTCACTGGCTAATTTTCAGAACTAATCACCAGACTTTCCTTCCTAGTCTCTTAGTTTGTAAACCCTGCAAAAGTCTGTCCACCAAGGGGGGATTCTTTTAGTATTTGAAATAACAGTGGTACAGTATCCAGCATCATTGTCACATGCAAACAACTACAATACAATAAACTGATGGATGGGGGGTGGGGGTGGGGGGAGAAATCTCATGCTCTTTAGGGAGCTCTGTTGACCTAGTGGCAAGAAGCAGTACTGCAATCCCAAAGGCCACCAGCTGCTCTACGGCAGAAGGATGGGTAATCTCCTTCCAGGCTATTTACTGCCTCTGAAAACCTGCCAGAGGGTCAGCTATGAGTCGGTTCTGACTCTACAGTACAGTACAACAACCATCCTCTTTAAAGGGGGAACACCTAGGGTACTGGACACCTGCTGTTGCTTGGAAGAAGAACTAACACTCTGTGTACTCTCAAGCCCTTCATCCTGACAGTCCTAGCCCTGTAGAGTGTGGGAAGGAAGATTCTTTCCAAGAACAGCATCTTCATCCTCCTCCTCATCTTCATGATCTGATAAAAGAGGAATGTATTGGCCACCATCTGTTCCTTGAAAACATGTAATAAAACACATTTTCCCTAGAGAGTGTACACCCAGGGGTACTCTTACAGCACACATTTTACCTGCAGTCAGGCAAATCCACACATTTTGGGGGGAAGAAGGGATTTTATAAGGTGCTGCACAGACATCAAAGCAAGTGGCTGATTATTTACATAACATGAAACTTGGGAGCTACTCGAAACATTTATAGACTTGAAACCACAAAGCACATTTACTCTTTTTTAAAATGAAATTTTACTTAAATGATGAAGCTGATAACATCAAATATTCTTTTTCTAAAGAACAAGTTTCTAGTTTGGATCTAGTAACATGGATATTAAAAGAAAAGTTTCAGGGGAGTTCTGGTAGCCTAGTGGCAAAAAGCTGCACTGCAGTCCCAGAGGTGCATGGTTCGAATCCACCAGATGCTCTGCTGGGGAAGGAGGGGCAATCTCCTCCTGTACCAGTCTGATCTGATTTG